CTTTAGGAGGCTGAGGCGGATAGATCACCTGAGGTCAGGAGTTCAAGACCAGCCTGGCCAACGTGGTGAACCCCATCTCTGTTAAAAATGCAAAAAAAATTAGCCAGGTGTGGTGGCACACGCCTGTAATCCCATCTGTCAGGGAGGCTGAGGCAGGAGAATTGCTTGTACCTGGGAAGCTGAGGTTGCAGTGAGCCAAGATCATGCCACTGCACAACAGCCTGGGTGTCAGAGCAAGACTCCATCTCAAAAAATAAAAAAGTACTTTTACATGTATTATCTTATTGAATCCACTCAACAATCCTGTGCTTATGAAGTAGCAGTTGTACTAACATCTTCTGTTGAGTGCTTTTTCTGTGCTAAGCTCAGAGGAGAAATGGTTACAATTAATACATAATTTTACAGAAGATAAAACAGGCTCAAGAAAGGATGACTTAAAACTTAAATTTAGTTCTTTCTCTTTTTTTTTAAATTGAGGCACAAATTGAGTCCCTATTTTTGGAGAGTTGGAGCTTCTTAGATTGTCTCCTGAGTCCTTTTGACACAACCTAGTAACCTTTGATCACGCTTTTTTTTGCTGTTTATGTGAAAAAAATTCTAGCCTTATCTTGTTCATTTCCTGACCCACCCTGAACTCAGCCATTTTCCCAAGGAGCTTTTGATTCCTTTTGGTGGCAATGATATTTAGAGATTACAGTCTGAGTGCTAGAGGTGCTCAGTGCTTCTATGCTCATTGTTTCCTGTCTCTTTCTGTGGACAGTACTAGGAAATATGTTTGTTTGTAATGTAAGATACATCATGAGTTCATGCTGATACCCTCCATTTAAACCCAGAACTTCAGTTCTAAAAGAACTGAAAGTAAGGATTTAAACAAATACTTGTACACCAGTATTCACAGCAGCATTTGTCAAATGGCCAAAAGGTGGAAACAACACAAGTGTCCATCAATATGTGAATGGATACACAAAACATAGTATATGCACACAATGGAATATTACTCAGCTAAAAAAAGAATAAACTGAATACATGCTACAATATGGATGAGCCTTAAAAATCATGCTTAGTGAAATAAACCAGACACAGAAGGACACATATGCGATTCCACTTGTATGAAGTACCTAGAATAGACAAATTCACAGAGACAGAAAACAGACTAAAGGATCTAGGTGGTGGGGAGAAAAGGGAATTATGGTTTAATGGTTAAGAGTCTTTTTGTCAGGGATGATCAAAACGTTTTGTGTATAGACAATGGTGATAGTTACACAATACTAGGAATGTAATGCCACTGAATGATACACTTTCGGTGGTTAAAATGATTTTCATGTAGCCTCTTCTGTCTTTTGTCTGTATCTATCTGTATCTGCTTTTCTCCCACCCAAGAATATCAGTTCTCAACAGTGCCTGGAATTCACTCTATCTGACAATTCAAATCCAAGTTCTTCTGACTCTATTCTATTCTTCTACTTAAGTCGTAGCTGCTTTATGCAGGCACTGGCCCTTGAATTGTAAAATATTAAATGGAACTGTTTATATAATTTATAGTTAAATATGAATTCATTCACATGGAATTTGATTTCAGTTTTGGACATCTATTGACTATGGTGTAGTTTTATTGAAAATCAAGTGATAATTCCTGGTTGAAGCAGTGTTAGAAAAAATGGCTCTTTTATCGGAATTGCATATTCTGATATTGGTATATTAAGTTTATCATAGTCTCTTGGCTTATATTCTGGGTCCCCTAATTACTCTTTAATTCTTTCTCTGCAAATGAAATAATACATATCTTGTATGGTTTTGCTTTATAGGATTTGCCAGAAACTATTCCTTACTTAAAAATATTTACAGTTAGTTGGGCATCAAGTGCCTGATGATGAGACTATCTTTAAGTTCAAACACACTGTTAAAGCATTTTTGAAAGAAAATAAAGATAACGGTGAGTTTTTGTTCGGCTTATTGGAACTTTGGTGTGCTATGAATGGGGTTGGGAAATTTTTGGTATTTTTTATAGTTGTAACCTTAGACCTGTTGTATTTAATAATGCTAAGATGATGAAAATATCAGATAGTGCTAACAGGGTAAGATGATTAGGAATGGGACAGACCCCTAGAAGGAAAACAAGAAGGAGTGCACCAGTGGAATTGCCCCTTTGTCATACATATTTAAGATATTTCTGCTGTTTTTCCACTTTGAGTACAAATGAGGAAGGATACCACCACCTCTTATTCTTCATGGGGGAGAACATAAGCCAAAGGCTGATGCTTTCTTGTTCCTGCTTTAAGATTTACCTTACACTATTGAAAATAGAACCTAACAGCCTCTTTATCTTAAGGATCCAGTTGCCTTTTTCTGGCATCTACCTACCAAAAAAAACGGGTAACTAACAAAATTTAAGACTGAAGAAACTTTTGTGTTTGGAAAGCCACTGACACCCACAGGACAAAGCCTTCATTTTGCCTTTTTTCAAATTTAGCTTGAGGAGTGTACACTCTTACATAAATCTAACGTAAATATTCCTTTTTAAAAAATGTGATGGCATAGTGGAGACAGAATAGAGACAGAGGTGGGAAGATAGGGAATGGAAGGTGAGAGGTAGAGACTGGGTCAGTGGGTTTGAAGATAAAATTTCCAATTATAACCCAGTCAGTCACTTAATGTAGACACTAGCTTTTGATTATGTTAACAGATCTTCGTTGTTCACAGATCTTCCCCTGTACTTTAACTTTAAAACTTGAGAAGTTTGGCTTTCTCATTTGTATACGTTGTTGTCACAGAAATACCACCTTTTAAGATATGAGGGTACAGCTGATGGCCTATTCACTGCTTCCAGGCTCGTTAGTGTGAAACTTTTATATAGCGCCTCATCTGTTCTGTGAGGGCTAGGAGGTCCTTATGAATACATGAGAACACATTTTTAAATCTTAGTTGTTCACATGTTACATTGATTGCCGTCAGATGGATAGACTGAACTCCATGTTGGTCTTCTGCCTGAGTTGTGCTGGCTGGCAGAGTCTTACAGTACCTACTTCCACAGCAGGCGTGGGACCTTGTTTGTAATCAGTTTGGCTACCTCTGCTGTAATCCCTTCCCACAGATACCAGGCTCACTGATAAAAAGAGGACACTACACCCTCCACTCTCTTCTAGAACTGGTGGAGACTCAAAATAAATTGATTCAGTAAACATGGAGATCCTTTTAGATTTGTTGTTAGATCGGACTACATTCACGCTTTCCTCTGGTCTTAAATTTTTTATTAAATAAATAAAAGATTTGTTGTTAGAATGTGAGGACACAGAGGTGTTAGCAGTCTTTGTTTTTTATTATAGCAGCTGACAGTTATCTAGGAAAATAAACATGTAGTGCATGTGGTTTAAGATGTGGGGTAGGGCCGGGCGCGGTGGCTCAAGCCTGTAATCCAACACTTTGGGAGGCTGAGGCGGGTGGATCACGAGGTCAAGAGATTGAGACCATCCTGGTCAACATGGTGAAACCCCGTCTCTACTAAAAATACAAAACATTAGCTGGGCATGGTGGCGTGTGCCTGTAATCCCAGCTACTGAGGAGGTTGAGGCAGGAGAATTGCCTGAACCCAGGAGGCGGAGGTTGCGGTGAGCCGAGATCGCACCATTGCACTCCAGCCTGGGCAACAAGAGCGAAACTCTGTCTCAAAAAAAAAAAAAAAAAAAAAAAGATGTGGGTTAACTATAGACAAAAAAGACAGTTCCTTATATTAAAAGAATAAATTAAGTACAGTGAGAATATAGAGGAGAGATTGAAGACAGCCTGTTAGAAGACAATATTCAAGCTGCAGGGAAGAGAATTTTGCCAGGATGAGAAAAGTACAGCCCAGTTTTGGGGATTAGGTACAAAAGGCACAAGGCTTAAAGCCATGGAGAGGCAGCCTCATGTGTGACTAGAAATAGTGTGAAAAGCCATGGAGTTCATGTTAATTTCCAAAACAAATTAAATTATCAAAACCATTAAATAAATTCTTGATTTTTGAATGAAATCATAGCATGGATCATCCCATTTCTGGGCCCTCTCCTAATGATATGCCTAGGACTAATGTTTTTACCCTGCCTAATTACTCTTTTTTCAAAGATTTTTAACTGACAGGATCATGGTCATTTCACAGACAACTACCCAAAAACATCCACAGACAGCGTTACTCCTTCAGTCAATCTGAGACCAGAAAACTCTCCATCCTGCCATCAGCAAGAAGTAGCCAGAAAGAAGATGCCACCCCTCATCCTTTTTATAAACATAGGGTCTGGATTAACAGAGCAGGAGCATCACCATCTTGGACAAGCACCACCATTTTAAAGTTCCCCTTGATCAACAGCCTAATTCCAACCCAAAGGCCATCATCCTAATGGTTAATGCCAGCATGCCCATGTACCACAAATGACATCTCCAACCAGAAACATTCCAACTCTAAGATAAACCCCTCCCTGACCAGAGACATGCCAGCCCTGAGATAACCTCCCCTCTGGCCGGAGGGATGTCAGCCCAAGGTAACCTCCCCTCTGACCAGAGATATTCCACCTGGCAATAAACTACTTCACACAGAAACATTCCAAACCCATGATAAACTCTCTCACCCTAAAACCCTTCAATGCTCTTAGTCTGTAAGAGAAAGTGCTCCTGACTGCAGTTGGCCAAAGCCCCTCTCAAGTTTATTTCCAAAATAAACCTGTCTTTGACCATTGAGCCACGTTGTATGTTTCTTTTCTCTTTCTTTAACTCTTACATCCTGGTCACTCATATTTGGCTCAGAATAAATCTCTGAAAATATTCTACAGAGCTTGACTCTTCATCAACACACAAAAGACCCAAAAAGACTGAATGAAACAGAGCCCCAGAAGCAACCCCACAATCAAACACGAGGGACTCAGATGAGAATGGACAATAAGCTTTTATTGTGTCATTGCACTGGAAGGTTGGGAATTGCTTACTGCTACAGCAGAGTGGACTCTATTCTAACCAATACACAAAGAAAGAGATCACAGGCCCCCTGCCTGAGCAGAAGGGAGGTGGTAGATGAAATGAACTCTAGGAACAGCCACTAGCCTCCGGCTCATGGTGTGGTAGGACTGATCCATCTCCTGGAAGCCCATGCCCTGGTAGAGGGCCAGGGCAGAGAACTGCACTGTATTCATGCCAAGGACAACTTCACTATAGCCCTGGTCCCGGGCAAATGGGAGGACAGTCCTGACCAGGGCTTTTGCTCTCCTCCTATGACGGTGCTCAATATCCACAAAGAGGTGAAGCAGCCGCAACTGCATCTCCCTCAAGGTGGGATCGTCAACGGGCAGAGCTCCCACCATGCCCAACACTTTCTCTTCAGACTCAGCCACCAAGAAGCAGGAGCCACGCTCACTCAGGTAGGATTTGGTGATGTCAGACATGTCTGTGAGCAGTGTCCTGTCTTCATACTTCCTCCAGGGATATTTGGCAAAGAACCACAGGGCACAGAGGAGGCTGAGGCTGAGGCTGAGCACCATGAGGAGCCAGGAGCCAGAGAGCAGGAGTTGTGTGAGTGGCCCCCCGGGTAAGAGCACAAGTGCTCGGGGCAGCTTCAGCAATTGGAGGAAGGTGGTCAAGGTGTGCTTATTCACCCCCGTGAAGAAGAAGCCCACGACACACTTGCGGTCGCGCTCTCGGTATTTGCGGATGTGATAAGGAGCCGTGGACAGACTTCTGTGTCTGAAATCTCAAAGTTCAGAAGAGAGAGCTAGACTCCCTGCACACCATTACAGCAGTCCTGAGGAAGAGAGAGGAAACCAGGTGAATGCCTGCATGGCTTCCAGCCTTCCAGGAACGGGAGACCTGCTAAAGGGCATGTCTTTCTGCTTTTGCCCATGAGGAAGCAGGCCTCTGCCACTGGGAGAAGGTAGGGTCAGAAAGACCTGCACTGGAATCTGGTTCCATCCCTTTTTAGCTGGGTGACCTCGGGCATGTTGCTTACCCTCTCTGAGCCTCCGTTTCTTCATCTATAAAGCCTTGATAGATGAACTACTCACCCCTCCTCCCTCTTTTCCCCTTTCCTGGATCTCTCAGGTTCTTGGTGCATTGAGGGGGCACCTACTGCAGGCAGGCCACATATCCAACCCCTTTGTTCTTTCTCCAAGGACCATACATTGCAGAAAACCTGTATCCAAACACGAGTTTCAGGAAAGACACCTTCTCCCTTGATAACAAATGTTTAGGTTGCTGAGAAGAGCATAAGGGCCAAGCACAAAAAACAGCCCAGCCTCCAGATCCCAAGGAAGGTGCAGGCTGAGAACCCTGTCCTTCCACCCATGTCCCCTCACCTGTCACCACAAGAGACTTGAGTGTCTAGGGATCCTCAGCTCTCAGCCGCTCACTGGCATCAAGAAGATAGTGTCCAGGGCCCAACCACCCCTGGAAAGCAGGCTAGCTGCCCCCTCATTGGTTGGCTCCTGAATTTTTGGTAATCATAAACCCTGGGGTCAAATTGCTGGGCTGTAACACAGCAGGGAGTGCATTCCCAAGTGCATTCCTCTATGTGGTCGCAGGGAATGAGCCCAGGGTAGGAGAGCCTGGCAGGCTGAGGGTCTGCAGTGTGCCAGGCCTGGGCTTGGCATGAAGGCACCAGATGTCAGAGGTGTGGCTGCCACCCAAGAGGACACACCTGATGGGGCTCCGGGAACAGGACAATGGTGGAGATGTCACATCCAGAATAACTGTTAGGAGGGTGAACTTGACAGGAGTTTTACATCGCAGGAATCAAAAAGGCACCTAAAATTACCTTAAGTAATAGAGGTGCAGGAAACCACAAACTCTAGGAAGACAGACAGGGTGGCCTGAAAGTGGGTTTGATCTGGTGTTTTTCTGCCATTCTGTGCGTGGCATCAGCTTTCTCATGAGACTGGCACTGTATAGGACTTGGGTGTTTGCCAGCCCAGTTGAAGCTATGTGCTTCATTGCTCACCACCAGCAGACAGGTGGGGGCTATCACCCGCAGTCCAGGTGACAGAGAAGGTTTACATGGGGACTCAGTCACACTTTCTGGGGACTAGATGTACATTTCATAGCAGGAGCCAGGTTATACTAAAGAGGCCCTGGCCCAGGGATACCAGCACCCCATAGAGATGGAGATTTCAGGAAGCTCAGGGGCTCAAGAGCTGAGTGGCAGTGAGCACTGCCCACAGAGGGGTCGCTCTTGAGTCAGGAGGGGTGGGAAACAGGTGCAGATCGGCAGCTGAAAGAGGTCCACCCAGGTGAGCACAGGTGAAACTGATGGTGGACAGAGGAAGAGTGTGCTGATTGGGAGGGGAAGGTGGAGCCTGTAGCCAGTTTGGGAATTCCCAAGTTGAGCAAAAGGTGTGCCAAGTCCTCTGGCTGGGCTTGTTAACAAAAGCACCTAACTCTTAAATTATCTGTAAGAGGTTTCTTCTGAGCCAATTAATGGCCATGGCCTGGGGAAGTCTCAAAGGGTCTTGAAAAAGTTTGCCCGGGACAGTCGTTTTATAGATTTGAGGGGACAGGAATTGGAGTAACATCATAAATCAACCCATGGAAGGTGCACATTGATTCGGCCTAACAAGGTGGGATATCTTGAAGTAGGGTGGGGGAGGTTGTTATAGGTCACAGGTGGATTTTAAGATTTTCTGATTGGCAATTGGTTGAAAGAGTTCAGCTTTGTCTAAGGACATAAAGTCAGTACAAATGAATGCTTCAGTTCAGAGAGAGAGTCTGCCTCTGCCACATGATGCTGTCCCAGATTCAGGGAGGTAAGTCAGCTACAGTATTCTGGGTCAATTTAAAACCCACTGAAAGAGACTCCATGGTTTCTAGGTGTATGTTAATTTTTGCTTAGCATGGCCTCTCATGTTGTACATAATCTAATCTGTACCTGATTGTCACAGAGTCTGTTCTGAATAATCTAATGATACCTGTTTTAGCATTCTTGCTGGTCAGTTTCGGGCCCCATACTCCAAAGTACAGGCTCTCATAAGGCTTCTCTTCCATCATGGCCAGGAATTTATTTTTTCAGGTTTCCCTAGGGTCCCCTTGACTAAGAGGGGGTCTGTTCCATTGGCTGGGGTCTCAGGATTGCAGGCCTTAGGACAGCCTCACAGCATGGTGCAGGGCGCTTGGCTGGATTTTCCTGAACCCTGAACTCCATGGTTCATGGGATAAGGGAACTGTGGGCCACCTGGATTCGGCTGAGATTCTTTCCCCAGGTGCAGGTGCAAGAGGGGAGGACAGGATGCTTTGGGGTCAGGGACAGAGGCTCCTGTCACTGAGACTTTGTACTCCTGGGAAGAGACTATTTTTGCAGTTCATCTGCCTCTCTGCAGTGCTGATGTGTAGCCCCAGCAATTCCAGTCCACTCTTGGCAGCCAGCCTTGAACATAGAACTGACCAGCCACATGGAAAACCTGAAACAAAGCCTCTAAAATGCAGCCTTTCAAAAATGCTCACCAGAGCTGTGTGTGGTTGCTCACACCTATAATCCCAGCAGGTGGATCACCTGAGGTCAGGAGTTTGAGATCAGCCTGGCCAACGGAATGAAACTTCGTCTCTACAAAAAATATAAAAATTCTCTGGGTGTGGTGACATGCACCTGTAGTCCCAGCTACTTGGGGAAACAGGCAGGAGACTCATTTAAACCCAGGAGGCAGAGGTTGCAGTTAGCCAAGTTAGCACCACTGCACTCCAGCCTGGAAAAGAGAGTGAGACTCTGTCTCAAAACAAAAAACAAAACAAAACAATTGCCAGAGTTTCTTAATCAGACTTGGCGTAGCCAGTGAGCTACTGCTGCCTGCCGTGACGTGGGTGCTGTTTTTCCCACTAAAAACCCAGAACTCTGCCTCGGGAGACAGGGCTCAGCTGCAGCCTCCTCAGCTAACCGTGAAGGGCTGTGTGGGCACCTCAGGGGCTCCTTAAACCCACAGTGGTGTGCAGATATGTGGGCTCACTCTCTACATCAGATCTCCAAAGGTGTCTGCGATCCCAAAAGGTTGGAAACTATTAAACTTGATCATTTCCGAAATGTCTTCCAGTTAAAAAGTCCTCAGTTCCAGTTCATTTTCAATTCCTAAATAAAGGGATGGGTCCTGGAGCTTCCCGGGAAGCCAGCCTGCAACTGAGCACTTGCTGCAGATAATGCCGGAAGTGCAAACCCAAAGATGTGTGTGTCTGGCCTGCATGTGGAAGCTTTCATAGTCAGGTCTTGCTTTGTGACAGTGAGGGGTGACCAGGGAAGCCTATGTGAGGGGCAGGGAGAGACCAGCAGCCCAGCCTGGGGAGCTGCCTTAACCACAGCTCACCTCACTTCCTCAGAGCTAAGGTTTTCTTGAAGGGCATATGCAGATTTATAAAAATGCTAAGCAAGCTGGGTAGTTTTTTTTTTTTTTTTTTTTTTTTTAGCATATGGAAAAAAAACAAATTTTCATTCCAAAGACCCTGTGTTGGGCTTGGAAGAACTGGTGGCACAACTGAGGAGTCCCGGAACACTGCTCTCAGAAACAGTGTTAGGGCAATTAAAAAAATTAAAAAGACAACAAAGAGGCTTAATTCTCCCTGTTAAGAACAAGGGAAGCGGTGTCCTCTCTCCCTTTTCTTAGACCGTTTTCTTTGGAAAACTTGTCATTGTAAATCCTTCCTCTGCTCCTTTGAGGGGCATGCAAAGCTTTTTGACAGTGAAATAAGCCTCTCCTCAGCTTTGCAACCCAGGGCTGTGTTCCTGAAGGACCTGGGAGTCCAGTCTTTGAAATGCCATCATCAGAGCAGCCAGGGCCCTATCTGCCAGCCTCGGTGGGAGCCTACCATCTGCTCTGAGTGGTAAATCTACCTCCTGACATTAAGAGTTTATTTTCCTTTGTAACAAGGTAATTAGTAAACACAGGTGGTCAGGTAAATTGGGGTTGAATCTCCAATGAAATGAGTGTCACCAAAGGTGCTGTGCAATCCCCTGACTAAGCATGGCTTTTCTTGAGAGTGTGCAGTGTGCAATGGGTTGGACCCACTGGCTAGTTTAGCGATGAGATTTCTGTCTTTGCAGCGCCTTGGCAGATCATTGCTTGTGATGTGCATCTCACTCTGGGTTAATGCCTCTTTGGTGATGAAAGTGTTTTCTTCTTTTACCTCTGCAGAGGCTTACTGGGATAGATTGATTGTAATTCTATTTTTGCACCACTAGAGGACAGACTTTGGGGTTAGGCAGCTGGGGAGGAGTTTAGAACCTACGCCTAGGCCTTCCACACTCCTCAGGCACCCAGTTCATCAGTAGTAGAACTTAAACCCAGGACTTCCTGGACTCCATACTGACTGGAAAAAGGAATTCATTCTCTTTCATTGCTGACACTCCTGGGTGAGTGTGTGTAGTAGTTACACTTTCCCCATTCCACCTTGTGCCTCCTTCCACTACAGGGGACCCCAAGAGGCCTGGCCCTGCTTGCTCAGTGCACCCCTGAAAAAGGGAGCCTGGGAGATGAGGATCCTGCCAGGGGCCAGGTGTTGGTCAAGGTGAATATGAACATGGAGGAAGAAGATGGAGTCCTCCCCTGATGGGGTCAGGGATGTGGTGGGAGTGCTCAGGAAGCCATGGCTCCCGGCTGGGGCCAAGGACCTTCCTCAGCAGCTGGAGTCTGACTTCTTGGGGTTGTGTTCTGACTCCCCTTCCCACACAGGCTGTTTCCTTCTAGAGGCCCAGGGACAATGGCAGGTTCGCAGTGGCACTGCAAAGGTAGGGTTGGTGGGGGTTCCTGGGGAGCAGTCCTGCTGTGGCCCTGGCTACCCCCTTGCCCAGGCTCCATGTACACCCTGAGTTCCCCTGGCACAACTTTTCTTCTTTCCATGAGGAACACCCTCACTTCCACCTGGGCCTCTGTCAGGAAGAAGGGTGGGAGCTCTGCCAAGGCATCCCTGTGACCACCCGCAGTGGGAGGCATCCGCCAGGCCTCTGCACAGGAGCTGCATGGGCCTTGTGTGTAAAACTGGGGTAGTAACAGTATCTACCTCATGAGGTTGCTGTGAGAATTAAATGGGTTCCTACAAGTGAAAAACACTTAGAACCAGGATCCAGAGGCTTGCAAGGGGTGAGCTGGAGTAGCCATGGTAAGTAAGGAGAGGGAGGTGAACTGATGGATATAAAATCACCAAGGCAAAAATTTAAAAAACAAAAACAGTAAGCAGCTGGGTGGCTCATGCCTGTAATCCCAGCACTTTCTGGGGTGCAGCAGAAGCATCACTGGAGTCCAGGAGTTTGAGACCAGTCTGGGCAACATAGTGAGACCTCATCTCTACAAAAAAAAAAATCACTAAGGCAAGAAACTAGTATACTGTAGGCATTCCATAAGTGTACAATTTTTATTCCAATTATATAAAAATAAAATATATTTGAGTAGAAACAGAACTCTAGAAGACAATAACAAATAATAGTAACTCGTTATCTTTTAAAATAATATGAGGTAGGACTAGAAGTGTTTTTTATACTATTCTTGATTTAAACTTTTCTATAATGCATATATATTAGTTTTATAATCAGGCAAGGAAGATCAATGTTTTCTTTAATGCTGAGAATTTCTGTTAATATTTTTGACATTTCACAAAACATCTTTTGTTGACATTCTACAAATGATACCATCCAATAATGTCCCAATACTTTCTTCTTGTGAAGAGAGTTTATGTTATCTTTAAAAAATGAAAGACAAATTATGACTTGCTGATAGTCATTCACTAATAATTGCCATTATATAAACATGTGTAAGTGAAATCATTCCTCATTCAATCATTGGGTTCATGGTATAACAATGAATGTGATTAAAATATTCAAAATCGATGGCAATTTATTACTTGCATTCCCTTTAAATTGCTGCTATGGAGGCAACTCTCAAGAATATAAAACCAAATTTCTATCCATTGTGAAAGCACATATCTAGATATAACTTCATATTAAACTTATTTTACATTTTAAATATACTATGTAAGTTTGATATTTAAAGGATTCACTTTCTTAATGTGGAGAATGCTTATGTCAGCTGAGTTTGTAATTATATTTTACATAACCCCACACCTCCCAGTTCTTCGTATCTATAATTATTAAGTAATTTAAAAAATTAACTTTCTCAAAAGTTCAAAAAAAAAAAAAAGGAGCCCTGTTGATCAATAGGCAAACATCATCAGCATTACTGCTCATCTGTCACACTCCTTATAAAAACATGGACTGGCAAATCTTTTTGACTCTGTAATATTTGTTATTTCAGGAAGACTTTCCAGAGAAACCTGATGACCTTCTACTTGAGATATCAGGTACTCTTGATTTGTTTTTCTTCCTCTTCAATGTAAACAATTAGAAGTGTCTTTTGCTGAGATACCAAATTTTTTCAAAGCCTCTGAAATCTAAGAGAAAAAAATGAAAACAAACAAAAAAACCAAGATAATTAACCATTATTTCCTATGTCTGAAACATTTCCTCATCTGCCTTCTTCCTTGGTCAGGCTCTTATTTTTCATGTCCTAACAGTTCTCACTGCCTAGGTTTTCACTTCCAATAATTCTTTTCCAACATCCATTGGTACTTCCTTGAAAGCACTACCTACTTAAAGGTACACCTTGTTCCAATGGAATCAGGCCCAGCCTTCTTGGCACTGCATGAAACCACCACCTCCCTCTGGTACCCAGTGGCCCTCCAGCCAGGTGCTTCTGCCTTCTGGCCAGTCTGGCCTTCCTGGTGATCCAGTCACATTTCATGCCCTTCTGGCTTTGGCCAAGCTTTGTCCTCTGCTTACATGTCCCTTCTGCCCATGGCTTCGCTGCTGAACATGTGCTTCAAGCTCCACAGTTCCGATGCCGCTCCACAGTTCCGATGCCACTCCCCACTACACCCTCCTCCGTCCAAAATGAATGGCTTAATTGCATTTCCCATTATATTATTTATCTTAGGGCATTTTAACTTCTATCTTGTTTATCGGGCCTCTCCTAAGGAACAAAATTGTTTCTTCTGCCCCTAGAACTGTAATGGAACAGGGAAAAGTTCAACAGATGTTTACTGAATTCAGGAGTTTCCTGAATTATGTCCAGTGATCTCAAGGAAACGATAATTAGTAAATCTTATTCCAGGTAACGGGCAACTCTATTACCAGGCTGAGATAACTGCATTTTATCAACTTTTCAATCATCTGTATTTTAACCTATGCCACAGGTTTCCTAACTTTTCTCTAGATGACATTAGTACTTAGTTATTCATAGCCGCAATAATACTCAAACCTCATCAGCAAAATTTCAGTGATTTTTTTCATGTGCTACATGTGGGATGTCTTTAGCTCCATAACTTGCATTGAAAACGCATGAATATAAGTATTTCAAACCATAAACTCTTCCTATGTACTGGGTGTGTGAGTGAAGATATGTTAAAGACTGCTGTAGGTACCAGCCAGTTCCTGGTATATGAAAAGGAGGTGGATCCCACACTCAAGGAATTAACAGGAAGAGGGAAAGATATGCATGCCAGCACACAAAATATCTACGCCTAATGTTTTATCATTTAGATTTCTGTCAGCTTCTTAAGCAAAAATACTTGAGGGGTCTTCCTGACCCTATATAGTAAGAACAACAGATAAAATTAACCTCACTTAACTAAATTTTTGTTTACTCACATGTAAACTTAGTAAGAGGCAGGGTTAAACCTCAACTCTCTGTCCAGAGCTCTCTTCACTATTATTCTGGTTTATTACTAACCACTGGCTTGCAGGAATTTAGCCTCCAACCCAACACTGGGGAACATGTATGTTATTATGACAAGGTCAACAGAAATAGGAAAGTCCACATTACATTGTTATTTGGGGAAAGGTTGTAAATAATTTCAGTAGATAGAGTTCTTGTCTTCATTTTTCCCAGTTTGTAGAGGTGAACTGCTTTGTTTGCTGCCACAAGTATCTGAAATGGATCGACAATCTACCAAACAGAGCAAAAAGAATTAATTACACATGGAGAATCTGCAGTGTGTGAAAACACTTGGCAACTCATGGTAACTCCAGTGTCAAGCTGTTTTACCTCATCACAATTCTTACAGTCTATATTTTCAAAACTATTATCCCAAGGGCCTGGGTAGTCACAGAATTTTAAAGCTGCAAGAAACTTATGCAAATAGTAAAAAATTTTAAGTAACATTAATTGAGGGCTAATATTATGGCCAAGATCATATTTTAAACATTTTACTCGTATTATTTTTGTTAATCCTCAAAACTACCCTATGAAATTGATATCAGTAGTAGTAGTAATAGTAATAGTGGTAATATGTAATTGATGAGTAAATCGAGGCAAAGAATGTCTGGGTTTGAATACCATCTCTGTCACCAATCACCTAGGGAATTTAGGCAAGTTCCTTAGCATTTTATTTGTTAGAGACAGATGAAACAGTTCACTTCATAAGGCTGTTGTGAAGATTAAGCGAGTTAGTATATGTAAAGCACTTGGAACAATGCTAGGAATGCAATGCACAGTATATAAAGCTTGGCTATGTCTTGTTCAAAGTCCTAAGTAGTAGGTCTGGGATTAAGTCCTGGTAACATGATCCCACTTTGTGTGTCTGTTGTTTTTTATTTTTTTGAGACAGAGTCTTGCTCCGTCACCCAGGCTGGAGTGCAGCAGCTAAATCTCGGCTCACTGCAACCTCCATCTCCCAGGTTCAAGCAATTCTTGTGCCTCGGCCTCCCAAGTAGCTGGGACGGGACTACCAGCACACACCACCATGCCCACCTAATTTTTGTATATTTAGGAGAGACAGGGTTTCACTATGTTGGCCAGGCTAGTCTCAACTCCTGGCCTCAAGCAATCCACCCACCTCGGCCTCTGTGTGTGCTTTTAACTGCTACACTATGCTTCCTCTGCAGACTGTCTTGTTAAGAACCCCCGTTTTACCGATGAGAAGCTGGAGATACAGGCATTTCCCATGTTAGAGCCAGACCACAACCTTTCCTATTTCCTAGGGCAGGACCTGGCACTTCTGCCTCAATTCACTGTTACAGTGAAGGTTGGCTGCATCTGACTTAGATAAGAATTTTTTCCCTAAAGGTGACAGAATTTTAGACTACCCTACTATAACATCATAAAAATTAATGTATACTTAAATGCTCTGTATAGCTCATTCATTCTTTTTTTTTCTTTGAGACAGAATTTTACTCTTGTTGCCCAGGCTGGAGTGCAATGGTGCTATCTCAGCTCACTAGAACCTCCACCTCCTGGGTTTAAGTGATTCTCCTGCCTCAGATTCCCAAAGTAGCTGAGATTACAGGCTACCACTACCACACCCAACTAATTTTTTTGTATTTTTAGTTAAGACGGGGTTTCACCATGTCGGCCAGGCTGGTCTTGAACTCCTGACCTCAGAAGATCCACCCGCCTCAGCCTCCCAAAATGTGGGGATTACAGGCATGAGGCACCGTGCCCAGCTGGCTCATTCATCCTTATAATTTACATTTACCACTGTAGGATTTATCAGTGATCCATCGATGGTCCCTTCCATGGCCTTTCTTCTCAAATCTCCTGGATTTTTGACATCTTTAAATAACAGAAGAGTCACCCTGCATTCAGGAAATAGGTCCAGCTGATGTGTTAACTGCATTTCACAGATAAGCAGGATTCTGCTGCACACAAAATGAAAAGACCAAGAGATTTCTTTTTGTTTAAGAGTTAACATTAGAACTCATTTCTTAACAACTATTCAATAACTTTGACAGTAACATGATTTAAAGTGTCAAACTAGAAAAGTCCATCGCTAAAGCCCATCTGGCATCCTCATGAAATGCTGTCTTTCTAACCCTGCTGAGCTGTTTCTAGTTTCACTGCCATTCCTGGGGGAAAGCCAAGGGGCCTAGCTGGTTGCTGTTTATTCAGCTAAGGCAGGCTCAGATGCATGCTTGAAGAGCTGCTTCCCCAGCAGACAAGTTGGAGCAGAATGTCAGGAATTTTTTCAACAAAAGGTTATTTAGGTATTAATGAAGCACTACTCTATCTTGGTCTTTTTAATTTCCTGATCTCATCATTTTATTTATATTTTAGCAAGGCCTAGTCATAAGTATTAAGGAAGAAAATAATTTTAAAGAATAAAGTATCACACTTGACCCAAAGATATTCATTCCACAGATGGAAATTAAGCAGAGAGGGTACAATTATTAAATAATCAATATTGCTCCTTTCTTGGACATAAGCTTAACAAGGAAAGGTTATTATATATAAAGACATAAAAGATAACTTGAATAACTAGAAAGACATGATCATATCTTTGAATGGAAAAACTATGTATTACAAAAATTTATTTAAAACAACTTCAGGCAAATTCCTAATGAGATATTTTGGTGGGGGCAATTTGATAGAGTCATTTATCCTTTTACCTGGCAAATTATATTTCTAAAACTCTTTCTGATGGAATTCATTATGAATCCAAGAATTATATAATAAGATGTTGCTCTCATTATTTTAACAGTAAAAAGTTGAAAACAATTTATCTAGCTAATTGAAGGGATTCATTGTGATTTAACAGCCATTAAAACGTGGTCTTGATGGTGTGTAAAAACGGCAATAAATGACATTAAGTAAAAACATCTGATTGGAAAACAAACTGTGGCCAAATTGTGGGTTTTTAAAAAAGCTTTTAAACAATTATTAAAAAGAAAACACACAAACAGGTTAATGTTATCTCTTACTAAGAATTACATATGACTTTTTCTGTTAAAAACAAGAAAAAAAATTTGTGAACAATATCCTGGCACGCAGTTCAATCTTCAGTCATGCTAAGGGGAAAAAAATGGATACAGAAAGAGATAAATAGTAGGATCCCAATTATATAAAAAGATGCACACATTTTTTAAAAACACATGAAGGAAACACACTAATATATGACCATCTTAGGTAGTGATATTCCAAGGTGATTTTTACTGTCCTTTGTACAAAAGAAAGTATTTTGTTATGTATATTCTGAATTTTCTACAGTGAGCATACAAACCATGAGAACACATAATCGGAAAGGAAAAAAAAATGTGGTTTTAACACTGAGTGGGGAAGAACCCTTAGAAAACCTCAAAATGGTTTGTTCTTGTTTAGTGTAATTCACTCACTCAGGCCAGAAACTTGGAATCATCGTTGGGTAGCCAACCTGTCACTCAAATCCTGTATCTAATCCGTAAAGTCCTGAATTTTCACCTCCTGAATATACTTTTGATTCGTCCACTTCTCTCCCATATGTAGGCTAGGTCACCACCGCTCATCTGCAGTGGTAGCCTCCTGTTTCCTCCTCATTGTTTCTCACAATTCCTGCCCTCCTATAATCCAGTCTTCCCCCGCAGTTATAGTGATCCTTTCAAAATGGACATCAGAGCTAGTCGTTCTGCTGCTCTTATGATAAAGCGCCTACTTTGTGTCACGGTGATCCATACCGTAACATCTGGTCCCTGCCTCCTCTTCTGCTACCGCCGCAATGGACTTCTCTAAGTCACCAAGTTTTCTCCCCGATTCTGCCCTATCGGACAGGTAGTTCCCTCTCTCATTTCAGCTCCGCCTGACGCACTCCTCCCTCCCTTCAACTCCATTTGGAGCCCATTTGCTACAGCCCAGAACCCCGGGACTAGGGCTCTTTTTAGTCTGAGGATTAGCTCCCTTTTGGCCCCAATCACACCGTTAAAGAATCGTGCGCCTATCCACTGTATGCCTCCTCACTGAACGATATTTCTTGAGGGGACAGACTGACTCTATCATTCCCGTGCTCCATTCCCGGAGGCTGGCCTCGTTGGCGCTTAATAAACACTGGCTGAAGAAACCGCAATCATTGTCCCAAGGACACGATTAAAGCTGCCGGGACCCTCCCCCTCCCGAGCCGGCCCGTTAGTGCACAAGGAAAACTCACCATCCGGTCCCCAGTGAGTCTCGGAAGATCTCCCGCTCTGAAACGAAACTCATAACTTCCGGAAGCGATGGCCAATCCCCGTCTACCCGTCTTCTTCGAGCCAGTTTCCGGATAGCCCGACCCGGGGTTGCCAAGTTTTTCCGGGTCCAGGTAGGAGGGGTGCTTCCGCCCCTCGTCCCGCCCATTCTTCCGCCTCTCCAGCCTGTGTCACCTCTATGGACGCGAAGGAGAATAGGAGCTATATGTCACTTCCGACGAAGGAAATTGAAGACTCTGTGGGCTGGGACCGGAAGCTGAGGTCTGGTTTCGAATCTCTGCTCTGTTTTAACCTGTGCTGGGCGGTGCACCGGGTGTCCTCGGTTTCTTCCTGTACAAGGAAAAATACTGACCAAGATGAGTTCTACATGGATTTTGCTGCTTCAGATTTCTTAGTTCTTTTTCAGGGCCTTGTCTCCTATGACACTTTGGACTTTTGAGTTTAATGCTGAAACATGTTAAAACTTTGGGAGATGATTGGGAAGACATGATTATGTTTTGCAATGTGAGAAGGACATGAGATGTAGGGGTCCAGGAGTGGATTGATACAGTTTGAATATATGTCCCTGCCAAATCTCATGTTGAATTGTGGTCCCCATTGCTGGAGGTGGGGCCTGCCGGGAGGTGTTTGAGTCGTGTAGGTGGATTTCTTATGGCTTGGTGTCCTTGCAATAGTGTGAATTCTAGGGCGATCTGGTTCTGTAGAAGTGTGTGGCACCCCCCCAACACATACTGTCTCTTGCTCCATTTCTCACCGTATGATATGTCTGCTCTCCCTTCTCCTTCTGCCAATAGAAAAAGCTCCCTGAGGCCTCCCCAGAAGCAAAACAGATGCTGGTACTATGCTATGCGTCTGTACAGCCTGCAGAACCATGAGCCAATTTAACCTCTTTTCTATATAAACTACCCAGTCTCAGGTATTTCTTTATAGCAATGTAAAAACAGCCTAATTGGGGGAGTAAGAGAGGAGATGGGGAGGCATTACACACTGGGCTAAAACATGAAGGACATTCAGCCAGGTGCAGTGGCTCTCGCCTGAATCCCAGCACTTTGGGAGGCCAAGGTGGGCAGCTCACCTGATGTCAGGAGTTCAAGACCAGCCTGACCAACATGAAGAAACCGCTCCCTGCCCCCGCCCCGCGTCTCTACTAATAATGCAGAATTAGCCAGGCGTGATGGCACCTGCATGTAATCCCAGTTACTCAGGAGGCTGAGACAGGAGAATCGCTTGAACCTGGGAGGCAGAGGTTTCAGTGAGCTGAGATTGCGCCATTGCACCCTAGCCTGGGCAACAAGAGTGAAACGTGTCTCAAAACAAAGAAAAACGTGAAGGACATTCTATTTCTAGGAGAGACAAGAGGCTATTCTGGTCAGTCTTTATCACAGGATGTTACATTTCCCAGCACATTCCACAGTTATCCTAGAGAACCACAAGTGAGAAAGGAGAATGAACTAAGTTTGTCCAAGGCCACCTAGAGAACTGTCCTGCAGACTGTGCCCTTAATTCAGATTATCCCCCTTAGCAAAGCCAGTCCATTTCATATGCCCATCAACCTCTTAATATCTGGAGGCAGAGGTTTGTCTTATCACATCGAGGTAACACTGTGACAGACGCAATGTCAGTGAAACATTGTTAAGCCATAGCCAGAATGCATTTTACTAGGCCCCAGAGGACTACTCCACAAATAGCTGATCAGGTCTGCCTGGAGGAGCAGCCTAGTCCTGGATCCAGTGATCCAGGTAACAGGTTGCTGAAGAGGTCAAAAAAAGGGTCCTTAAAGGATCCCCAATATCTATAGCAAGTGGGCCTCCTCCCAAATCTACTTTTCTGTAATACAAGAGGTGTTCTCTAGGTACAGCAGCAGCTATTGGCAATCAAACACACTTGTCTCAGTTTGGTAAATGGAAGTCTAGAGTAATTCCTTTGTTTAATAGAATCCTCTTGGCCAGGTGTGGTGGCTCATGCCTGCAATCCCAGTGCTTTGGGAAGCTGAAATAGGGGGATTGCTTGAGGGCAGCCTGGGCAAAATAATGAGACCCCCATCTCTCCAAAATATTAAGAAAAATGGCCAAATGTAGTGGTGGTGTGCATCTGTAGTCAGAGCTACTTGGAGGCTCAGGAGGGAGGATCACTTGAGCCCAAGAGGTTGAGATTACAACAAGCTATCATCATGCCAGTGCAGTCTGAGCAACAGCATAAAACACTCTTCAAAAAAAATTCTCAAGGGAGTTGAGGGATGTCTGCTGAGCTGCCAAGGAAGTGGCAATAGAGGAAGCAGTATCTGCCATGCTGAGGGACAGATTTCTTATCAATTTTTCCCGAGCACTGATTCCTATGTGTGGTACCAAAAATCTCAAAAAGAACATAAGCCCAGGGTCACTTACACCTTCTGGCAGGTGTCTAGTAAGCCTAGTGTATGACTCCAGGCTGCTGGCCCATGGGTATGACTCATCTCCAAGGGTAATATCTAGGGACACCCCAGCATGCCCAGTATACAGTATTCCACTGTTCATCAGCTTTCCAAGTATAACACTGACCACACCATATTTGGGTGACCCTGGACTGCTCACAGGGAAAAATGTAGCCCTCAGGTGCACATAGCATCCCTTCTCCCATTTTATTGTTCAGTAACCCATTCATCGGTATGAAGGCATTGGTATTTGCCAGCAAAGTCTCAAATTAGTTATTTGAACTTGGTTTCCCCCATTCAATATTGTTCATGAAGTCCCTACACAGAAAGCTAACAGTAGTCCAATTCTTGTTTCCACTGTCAACACTGGGATGCTTCTCATCCAAGTAAAGGAATATAATGGGTCAAAACTACCAGCCCTCTGAGGTTGTTAGTTGTCATGATGTTTTGCCACCTTTGGCCAATTAACTCTTCCTCTCTCCCATGTGGCAGGTGCTAAATCTTTACTCAGTAAGCCACGGCTGAGGCTCTGTTGATACTCACTGCACCACTGTAATACTGGTAGAGTTTACTAGTGGCAGGACGAGAAGGTTGCTGTAGTCTATGACAGAATGGGGTCTGGGATGACAGATCTAGCACTTTCCTTTGGTGGCCACAGGTT